AGAGTTTAGTACTTGAAAACCTTGAGTAAATACAGCATGTTTCTCTTGCTGTTAGTCTTGTAATTTCTAAAATGGCCAATTCCTCTCTTAAGTCGTATTGCTTCAACCAAGTACTCAAATAAATAATAAGCATAGTCTACAAACCATGTATTGTAGCTATTTTGTTTGGTTGGGTTTGATGAGTAATTTGAGCTACATTTCTTCGACCCAATGTGGATCTAATGAGTAGTTATCAGGTTGCTCAAGGATCAAGGTGCTATGAGGCACAAATTTTGAAAGTAATCTATTACTATTAGATACCTTTATACCAAGGAAAAACGACAAACGGCAAAAGAGAAGAGAACCAAGGCAAGGGAGCCACTGGCGGAACCGGATCGAGCCGAGCACGGCTCAGTGCCAGGCCGAGCCCGGCGAATGCCCTCTTATGATCTTCATGTACCTTGGGCCTTGCAACGGTGAACTAGGGTTCACTTAACCAAAGGTTCTGGAATCTTCCGAGCGACTAGAAATAGGCAATGCAACCTAATCTTAAGGGAAACCAAGTTCTTACACTGAAATTCTATTATTCATCTACTTTCCTTGCTAACTTAGACATCGTACCCGTGTGACAAGAGGTTTAGCTTTGTTCGATTTTGTAGGTATTCGATTCCCTAATAATCAAGTTTAACCTAAGAAGGAATCGGTAGAGCATAATCCACGAATACTTTTAAAACTAGACTTGTAATTTTAATATATTGTATTCCGTAGCATCATAGCATCATTTTAGATCATGGATCAAGTCAAAGTGTCACTTTCCAATTTTACGAAATAATAATGATAATAATAAAAGTTCATAATTCAGAACAATTAAATTTTTTTTTATACCTGGATTTGACCATAACAGGTGGGAAAGCAAAAATATAACGATGGCGATGTAGTTCGGTCCATGTGAAAAAGGGTTACAAATTCCCCGTTGTAAACAAAATTAAAAAGAATTAAATTTATTTTAACATACAAATTAGTTAAGCCTGTAGTATAGTTTTGACACTATTTATGCACAAGATGTAAAATTATCTAACATTTTATATGTTTTCTTCTTATAATGTTTTTCTATAGAATAAATGTCAACATCCAAATATTGGAACATCCAGATGTCAAACACCAAATCACATCAAATGTATTGATTTCTTAGACACAACAAACAACTCAAAAAGAAAATTCAAATAAAAGACAATTTTTTTAAATTAAGCCATCTTGAAAATGCATAATTTGAGAAATAATTCTAAATGTTTTTTTAATTCGAAATCATTTGACCAACATTAAAATTAAATCCACTAACATTAAAATTAAGTTATGGATTGTATTAGTTGATTTTGCAAAATATATTAATTTTATCTCTATTTGTCAATATACATGATGATTATAAGTTTTATCCTTATTTCTGCGAGAGATTAACTAATAATAGAAAATAGAAATAATAATATTCAAACGAAAACGACACATAACAACTCATAAGACGACACAAAAAGAATTTTTTTTTTTAGTGCGAAAAAGAAACAACTTTGATTCCAAAATATGATTAAACAAATTCATATGGTAGGGGGTGGATCAGTTATAAGCTTATTTCAGTTGAATTGAATTTTTACCTTTGAATTGAATTTTTACCTTTGAATTGAATTACAAATTCTTTTGAAATTAAGAACCAAGCTAAACTTGCTACCAATATTAGAAAATGTATCTGTTTTATTTATAAAAAAATTAGACGCATATATCATTTTTCATCTCATTTTATTCGATAACATTTCATAAGATGAAAGTAGACATTTATTCACCAACCTTAATTTAATTATTGAATATAACTCGACCCATACATTTCACCGTGACTCAATTATATAATACCAATAGATTGAGTGTTAAATTGAGTTAAATCCATCTCGACATATTTGAGTGTACTCAATAGTAATTGACACATATCTCTGATGAAGAAGTAATAAGTCAGTTATAAGTAATTTTCTAAAATAAAAATTTAATAAATCATTTTAATATTTTATTACACCTGATTTTCAAAACAACCCTCCATTTCAATTGATACATATAACAAATCAAGTCTTTAACTGAGATTTGTTCCGATGGGTTGTTCTCTTCTTTTGAGAAAAACCATCAAACAATTCTCAACCTGATACCATTTTCCAATTCCAACTACAACAGTTTCATTAAATATCATAAACCTGGAATAATCAATTCAAATAAATTTCTAAAATTTAATTATAAAATCACTTATTACATCATTGTCCACGTCACCCAAACACGAACCCTAAATCATTATATTAATTACTCAGTCAACTGGGAATAACTTGGTTCCAAAGTCATGTTTTACATATAATAATTCTTCCCAAGAAACCTTGCCATAAAGGCTGCTTTATTTAATCAACATAAATCTTCAACCATAGGAATAAAAACAAATTAATGGGAACTATGAGCATATACAGTATTTCAAGTTCTGTATTTGTGTGTGTTCTTTTCAGCATCATCATCATCAAGCTCTTTACAAAGCTATGGCTGACTCCCATGAGGATCCAACGGTTCATGAGGTCTCAGGGGATCCAAGGCCCTTCTTACAACTTCATCTAAGGCAACACCAGAGAGATGTACACTAAAAGAATCCACGCCATGGCCACCCACATGGACATTTCTCATCACATCCTCCCTCGAGTTCTCCCTCATATTCACTCGTGGCTCGACCGCTACGGTACCATACTAACTCTTACGTTTTTCTTTTTCTACTTTTGTTAAGGATCTCACGTGTGAACCTGGACTAATTAACAGGGAAGAACTTCCTTCAGTGGTTTGGTGTGGATGCTCAGCTGATCATTACAGAGCCTGAGTTGATCAGGGACGTGCTTCATGACAAACAAAAAAATTTCCCAAAAGCAAAACTGCATGGCTTCATACACAAAATTTTCGGAAATGGTCTTGTCACGGCCGAGGGTGAAACATGGGCCAAGTCCCGCAAAATAGCCCATTTTGCTTTCCATGGAGACAGCTGGAAAGCCTCAAGGTTAGTGATAAGCCCAAGTCCTGATACCGGCCCACCATTTTTATAATCCGAACTTAATTATTTTCTACACTCAAAATAGCAACTACTTTTTTATTGGGTAAAAATAGCGAAATATGGAGGTCGAACTGCTAACGACAACGACACCCTTCAAATATGATATTGTCTATTTCCAGCATAATCCTCGCAATTTTACTTTTGGTTTCTAGAAATAATTATTCTCTTCTATATACTATATATTTCATCTCATTCCTTAGTTAATGTAAGACTTTGCTTACATTTCTTACAACCCTAATACCGACTCAGGTAGAATAAAATAAATGTCCAATATACCCTTAATAAACACAAAGCACAAATAAGAATATACCTTTTATATATATAGATACATATATATATACATACTTGATTTGATATGCTTAATTACGAGTGTTGATGTACCAATGATATACTTGACATGAATGTTGATACATCAATTATATAYCTAATATATTACTTACTTCTTTCTACTTATGTTTATTGTATTCAGTTTTTTTTTCTTTTATTGAATTGTGTTACGTTATTTACAAAGATTCATGAAATGTTTGTTTTTTTTAATCTAAATGTCTGTCTTTTATACATAATAGGAATGTGTTGATATATTCAATTTTGTTATATTTAATAGATGAATCAATAACAACGATATATTTGATTATGAGTATTGATATACCATTGATATGTCTTATATGAATTTTGATATACTTGATTACTTAATATACATGATTTGATATATTATTGATATATTTGAAAATGTGGAAGTATAAAATTGGAATAACCATAAAATCGAAAATCAGATTTTAAATATTTTGCCATATTCCATTACAAATTCCCAGTATTCTATCTTATGAAATTTTTTTGCGTAGAACATGATTCCAGTGATGATCGGTTGTGCTGAGACGATGATAGAAGAATGGAAGCATTATGAAGGCAAAGAGGTCGATGTATTTGAACATTTTAAGATGTACACATTGGACGTCATTTCACATACAGCTTTCGGAAGCAGTTATAAACAAGGAAAGAATATCTTCCAAATGCTTCAGAAGCTATGGGACCTATCAGTAAAAAATGGATACAAAGTTAGGCCACCAAGAATCAGGTAGCTAGTTTAGATTTGTTACCTTCTAAAATGACCATATTATATCCCAATTGAACTCAAAAATTTTAACTGAAGACACTCTCCTGGACTTGAAAATGAGCACAAATCATATTCATGGAACCCAAAAACTAATTAATTAGTTTAGTTATGATATACGTTTTGAAGATATGATATGTTTGTTTGTTTGTGGATGCAGTAAGATTTTGAAATCGAAAGACGATATTGAAGGAGAGTGTCTCGAGAAGAGCATGAAGGATTGCTTCATGGAAATAATCCAAACCAGAGAAGCAAAGTTGATGAATGGTGAAGCAGAAGACTATGGCAATGACTTTCTTGGATTGCTTGTGAAGGCAAAGAATGAGGCAGAAGAATCCCACAGGATTTCAATGGATGATGTTGTGGACGAATGCAAGACATTTTACTTTGCTGGCCATGAGACCACCAACGTTTTACTGGCTTGGACCATGTTTCTTCTGGCCTTGCATAAGCAATGGCAAGACAAAGCAAGAAATGAGGTACTCAAAATATTTGGAGACAAGAATCCAACATCAGAAGGCCTTCCTAAAAACGGTAACAATTATACATTCGTTTATTTAAATAAACGACTCAATTTTCATTTTTAATTTCTTTTTGGATAATGAACTATCAATTTTTCAACCGTGGTCAAGGACTTAGGATAGAGATAGGTACTCACTTATTAGCATCTATTTAAAACAATTTTCTAAATATTTATTACCATATTTTCTCGTTCTTTAGATGACGATGATCATCAACGAATCTCTGAGGCTGTACCCTCTAGCCATGACATTATCACGACAAGTGGAGAAAGAAGTGAGATTGGGGAGCCTCGTGCTTCCCAGTCGAATTCGGATCGCCATCCCAACGCTTGCAGCTCACCATGACACCGAGTTTTGGGGCGAAGATGCACATGTTTTCAAACCAGAAAGATTTTCGGGAGGAGTCGCGAAAGCCACAGAAAACAACCTAGCTGGATATCTCCCATTTGGGTTGGGTCCTCGAAGCTGCGTGGGGATGAATTTTGCCATGAACGAAGCCAAAATTGGGTTGTCCATGATTCTACAGCGATATTCCTTCACCCTCTCGCCGGCCTACGCTCACTCGCCGGTTCAGTTTCTTACCGTTTCCCCGCAGCATGGACTTCAACTCATACTTCATTCCATATAACATCACAAAGCCTGAAAACTCTAAAGTTTATGGAAACAATTATGTATGCCATTTTATAAGACACAGATGACAATAAAATAATCTCTTTTATGAATACTGTGTAGTTGTTTATGTAAATTACATGTACGGATGTAACACAATAATGTTTTTGTACAGTTTGTCAAATATGGAAAACATTGTAAATTTCACTACTATAATGTTAAAAATATTATAATGGTGTATCTCACAAATTTTCGTGAGAGTTTTCTTAACGATTAAATCAGTGTTACTTGAGAATTAGAGTAAATTTAGTGATTTATAGAATTTATATAAAACAACATGGTTCTCAATAAGCTTGAATTGAGCCCAATTTGATGGTTAGACTATACAACCAATGTGTCATACCTCAATAGTTAGTTCTACTCGGTGTGAATTTTTCATGCACATAGTTTATTACGTTTAGTAGATGAGTTGATGACCAATATAATCATAGTTTCCTTTTTTTTTTTATTAAGAAAACCAATATGATCCTAGTTTATTAAAGTATCGCTATTTTTTTTTAAGAAATGAATCTCAGAAATATGTGTACACGTTAAAATATTATAGTTTAGTTGTTAAATTAAAAAAATTTTAAATGTCTGTTTGATAACCATTTTAAATTTTATTTATAATATTATTATCTGAAAGTATATTTGAATTTTTAGTCAATTATTTTTTAAAAATAACAAGTTTTTCAAAATACTTTTTCTTTTTTTTTTTAATTTTAAATTCAATCCAGATTTCGAAAATATT